CTCCTCCCTCTCTCTCTCTCTCTCCCTATTAACATGTAACCTCCTCCCTCTCTCTCTTCTAGGCGCGGGGCCGGAGGGAGTCGAGGAGATAAAGAAGCATCACTACTTCTAACCTCCTCCCTCTCTCTCTCTCTCTCCCTATTAACATGTAACCTCCTCCTCTCTCTCTCTCTCTCCCTATTAACATGTAACCTCCTCCCTCTCTCTCTTCTAGGCGCGGGGCCGGAGGGAGTCGAGGAGATAAAGAAGCATCACTACTTCTCGACGATCGATTGGGAAAAGCTCCTGAAGAGGGCGCTCGCGCCTCCGTTCAAGCCGGCCGTATCGCGTGCCGAGGACGCGTTCTACTTCGACACGGAATTCACGTCGCGCACGCCGCGAGGTAGGTGGCGCCACCGCGGGGCGGGTCATCCCTTAGATGGCGCCGCAGGGCGAGGGTGTGTCTGTAGGTGGCGCCGAGGACGCGTTCCTACTTCGACACGGAATTCACGTCGCGCACGCCGCGAGGTAGGTGGCGCCACCGCGGGGCGGGTCATCCCTTAGATGGCGCCGCAGGACGAGGGTGTGTCTGTAGGTGGCGCCGAGGACGCGTTCGACTTCGACACGGAATTCACGTCTGTAGGTCACGGGTGTGTTCGTAGATGGTGCCTCGGGGTTGGGTTTACATGTAGGTGGCGAAGCATTGTAAATTTGCTTGTAGGTGGCGTTGTAGGGGTAGGTTTGCCCATAGGTGGCGCCCTGAAGTAGGTTTTCCCTGTAGGTGGCGCCCTGAAGTAAGTTTTCCTCGTAGGTGGCTCCGTGAAGTAGGTTTGCCCATAGGTGGCGCCCTGAAATAAGTTTTCCCTGTAGGTGGCGCCCTGAAGTAAGTTTTCCCTGTAGGTGGCGCCCTGAAGTAAGTTTTCCCCGTTGGTGGCTCCGTGAAGTAGGTTTGCCCATAGGTGGCGCCCTGAAATAAGTTTTTCCTGTAGGTGGCGCCCTGAAGTAAGTTTTCCCTGTAGGTGGCGCCCTGAAGTAAGTTTTCCCCGTTGGTGGCTCCCTGAAGTAGGTTTGCCCATAGGTGGCGCCCTGAAATAAGCTTGCCCCGTAGGTGGCGCCCTGAAGTAAGTTTGCCCCGTAGGTGGCGCCCTGAAGTAAGTTTGCCCCGTAGGTGGCGCCGTAAATTAAATTTCCCCATAGGTGGCGCCACATGGTAGCTCCACCCGTCGAGAGCACCACCGAGGTCGCAGAGCCTCTCCCTCCTTTCCACCAGGTGGCGCCTCTAAGGAGGCGAGCGCTCACGCTCTCTTTGTTTCAGACTCGCCCGGCGTGCCACCCAGCGCCACGGCGCACGAACTCTTCCGAGGTTTCAGCTTTGTCGCGCCGACGCTGCTACAGGACGGCTGCGCCGCCGGGTTGCACGGTGGCGCCCCCGCGGCGGCGGCGGCGGGCGGGCGGCAGAACGGAGTGCCGTCGCTGCTGCGGCTGCAGGGAGTGAAGCCAAGTAACATCACGTCCGAGTACGATCTAAAGGAGGTGAGTGATGGGGGAGGTGGGGAGGAGGAGGAGGAGGGGGAGGAGAGGAGAGAAGGAAGGGAGGGCAGAGGGAACTATATCACGCTGTCTCGAGTACGATTCTAAAGGAAGTTGAGTGATGGAGGAGGGAGAGGAGGAGGAGGAAGGGAGGGAGGGAGGAGGAGGGAAGGAGAGGAGGAGAGGAAGGGAGTGAACTGAGTAACATCACGTCCCGAAGTACGATCTAAAGAGTGAGTGGATTGGGGAGGGGAGGAGGAGGAGGAGGCGGAGGAACGGAAGGGGGGAGAGGGGAACTATAGTCACGTCCGAGTACGATCTAAAGGAAGTGAGTGATGGGCAGGAGGGGAGGATGAGGAGAGAGGGTAAAGGGAGGGAAGGAAGGGGGGAGGGGAGAGGAGGGGAGGGAGGAAGGGAGGGAGGAGGAGGAAGGAGGAGGCGAGAGGGAGGGTGTGAAGCCGAGTAACATCACGTCCGAGTACGATCTAAGGAGGTGAGTGATGGGGAGGTGGGAGGAGGAGGAGGAGGCGAGGAAGGAAGGGAGGAGGGCGAACTATATCACGTTCCGAGTTCGAGATGCAAAGAAGGAGGTGATGGGGGAGGGGAGGTAGGAGGAGGGGAGGAGGGAGGAAGGGAGGAGGGAGGGGGAGGGAGGAAGGATGAAGGCGGAGGGGAGGGAGGAGGAGGAAGGAGGAGGCGAGAGGGAGGTGGTGAACTGAAGTAAGATGCACGTCCGGTTAGACGATCTAAAGAATGAGTGATCGTGGTTGAGGGGAGAGAGGGGAGGGAGGAGGAGGGAAGGGGGAGGGAGGAGTAGGAAGGAGGAGGGAGTGAAGCTGATAACATCACGTCGAGTACGAATCTAAAGAAGTGAGTGATGGGGGAGGTGGGGCAGGAGGGAGGGAGAAGGAAGAAGGGAGGAGGAGGAAACTATATCACGTCCGAGTTAACACTAACAAAGGAAGTGAGTGATGGGGGAGGGAGCGGGAGAGGAGAGGAGAGGAGGAGGGAGGAAGGGAGGGAGGGAGGGGAGGGAGGAGGGACAAGGAGAGAGGGAGGGAGGAGGAGAAGGAAGGAGCCGATGAGCGAGGGGGTGTAGAGCCGAGTAACACATCACGGTCGAGACGAATCTAAAGGGAAGTGTGAGGTGATGGGGGAGGGGAGAGGAGGAAGGAGGAGGAAGGGCAGTGGAGGCGAGGAAGAAGGTAAGGAGGAGGGAAGGAAGGGAGGTGAAGCTGAGTACACTCACGTCCGAGTTGACGATCAAAAGGAAGTGGTGAGTGATGGGGGAGGTGTCAGAGAGGAGGAGGGAGGAAGGTAGGGAGGGAGGAGGAGCGAGGGAAGGGAGGGAGAGGAACTATACACTGTCCGCGATGAACGATCTAAAGGAAGTGAGTGATGGGGGAGGGAGGGAGAGAGGAGGAGGACGAAGGGAGGGAGGGAGGTAGAGAGGAGCGAGGAGGAGGAGAAGGGAGTGAAGTGAGTAAACATCACGTTCGAGTACGATCTAAGGAAGTGACGTGATGGGGGAGGTGGGGAGGAGACGGAGGAGCGGGAGGGTAGGAGTAGAATGAGAAGTAGAGAGAAGGAACTATATCACGGTCGGAGTAGCGTCTAAAGGAAGTGAGGATGGGAGGTGGGAGGTAGGAGGAGGCAGGAGGAGGGGAGGGAGTAAGGGAGGAGGGAGAGGAGGAGGGAACTATATCACGTCCGAGTACGATCTAAAGGAAGTGAGTGATGGGGGAGGTGGGGAGGAGGAGGAAGGAGGAAAGGAAGAAGAGGAGGGAGGAGGAGAGGAAGGGGAGGAGGAGGGGAGGAAAAAAGGAGGCGAGAGGAGGGAGAGGAGTGAGTGGAACTATATCCCGTACCGAGAGTTATAACGATAACTAAAGGAAGTGAGTGATGGGGGAGGAAGGAGGAGCAGAGGAGGAGGAGGGGAGGAAGGGAGGAGGAGAGGAACTAATCACGTCCCGATACGATCTAAAGGCAGGTGAGTGATGGGGGAGTGGAGGAGGTGAGTGATGGGGGAGGTGGAGGAGGAGGAGGAGGGGAGGGAGGAACGAGGTTGGTAGAGAAGAAAAGGGAAGAGGAGAGCAGAGAGGAGGAGGAAGGGTAGGATGTGTGAGGGAGAGAGAGAGAAGGGAGAAGGGTGAAGGAAGAGGAGAGGAGGGAGAAATAATGGAAAGAGGTAGAGACGGAAGGGTGTTAGCAAGAGTGCTTCTGTATATATGTCATAAGAAAAAGTAGTGTGTAACTTAAGTGGCAGTGTGTGGAAACTGTGTATGTATGTATGAGAGGTAGGAGAAGGAGGGGAAGGATGGTGAAGAAGATAAAAAAATGGGGGGTAAATGGAAAAGTGATGTATTTGCATATATACAACAATAAAGTTGAGCAGTGTGTTGATAGATGATAGTGATGATGATGCGGATGGTGGTGATGAAGAGGAGGAGGAGGAGGAGGGGGAGGTTGAGGAAGAGATGATGAGGAGAAGGAGGAAGAGGAGGAGCAGGAGGATGAAGAGGAGGGGAGGAGGAGGGGGAGGTTGAGGAAGAGATGATGAGGAGAAGGAGGAAGAGGAGGAGCAGGAGGATGAAGAGGAGGGGAGGAGGAGGGGGAGGTTGAGGAAGAGGAGGAAGAGGGGGAGGAGGAGGAGGAAATGTGAGAAGAGGAGTAGAAGGGGGGAAACAAATTTTGCGCGTACCAACGAAAGAATGCGAAAACTGTGACGCGGCGCATTCCTGGGGAAGGGGAAGGGGAAGAGAGAGGGGAAGGGAGAGGGGGATGAGGGAACAGGAAGGGAGGCGGAAGTGAGACACGGATGTTTGTAATGCCCCCCTCCCCCTCACCCTCCATCCCCGGAGAACAGCTGTGAGCTATTAACACACCCATCATCATCACGCACGCACGCACGCACGCACACACACACACACAGTACATGGCAGCATTAACATCAACCCCGTGGTTAGTGTCGTTTTGCGCCGGTAGATGGCAGCACCTGACAGTGTAGCGTCTGCTGTTCCTATTGCAGGAGATCGGACACGGCACGTACTCCGTCTGCAAGCGGTGCGTGCACAAGGCGACGGGCGTCGAATACGCAGTAAAGGTGAGTGTGCGGGAGTGTCGTATCTATTTTTCCTCCCGTTCATTGTAAAATTGAAACTTTCTGCTGCAATCTGAGACTAACATTAAGACTATATATATATATATATATATATATATATAATAATGTGTATTTATGCTATATGGAGGAGAGAGAGATCAAACGAATGAATAGCGAATAAATATAGTAAAATAGAATGAGGGTCAATTTTATTCATTATAATCAATAGATTTCATTTCTATATTTCTATTATTTTATCTATATTCTGAATGGGTGTCGCATGTGTCAATTTAATTATAATAATGACATATATATATTTATATAATATTATAGTATATATTATATGTATATTATATATATATATATAGTAAATATCATGTATATAGTATAATGTTATATAGTGTGTATATATGTACTAGATGTATAAATAGTATAATATTTAATTTTATTAATTATATTGAGAGAAGAGGAGAGAGAGAAATATATCTTATAATTATATATTGTGTACGTGCGCTACGTGCGTGCGTGCGTATATACATACATCACGTTACATATACTTGCGTATTTTTAACACAGGTGCTGGACAAGTCCTAAGTGGGATCCGTCTGAGGAGGTGCAGTGGCTGCTGAGGATACCGGTCACCACCCGACATCGTTATGCCGCTCAGAGATGTACAGTGCTCTCTCTCAATATCCGTGGGGCAGGGGGTTCAGTGTTGCCACTGAGCAGAAAAAGTGGTAAGGCTGCCAGGGGTTCTATAGCCCCTAAAAGCGGCAGACCCCAGCCAAAAGCTGATAGCGCCCCTATTCAAGAGGCTCTTCGAATAGCTTTTGGTAACCCATCCCGATTCGGCAGTTTGTTCAGTGAAAAGTGCCCATAGCTGATCGACAATGGTACGGCAATGTGTACATCATGCTGAAGCCACTCGAACTCCTTTATCCAAGATGTTACTGAACCGAGACCTGCAACCCTTACGATTTTTTCGTATTCCTTGCGAAGTGTCTCTATAATGTTCTAACGAATGTACGACTCAAAACTGGCAAAAAATACATTTTTAGCGACTTGTGAAAAATTAAATGTTTTTCATTGAGCCGACGAAATATCTGGCGATTGGGGGGCGCAGCCATATTGGATCACGCTGTTCACGTTGGTCTCAAGCGTGACTAGAGTTAGTCCCAATGCCATCATAGTGCGCTGGATCAACATACCACAACAAAAAGCCGCCTGCTGCAAGAAAAGAAAATCTCTACTATTTTCATGAATCATCAGATTGCAGTCTGCTGGAACACTAATGTACCTATTTTTCTCATACTCCTCTGTATTTACTTCCTACTCCGTCGATGACTGTTTGTGCTTATCTTGCCGGGTGTTCACAATTAAAAAACACCACATCGTTGTTTATATGAGCTCTGTAAGACTACGACTCTCCACTATTGACAGCACAGAGTACAGAGCTGGCTAGTCTGGTACACAATCGGATCAGCAAACGTAGTAGCGTCTCATAACATTGACAAGTGGAGCCTGTCATACTACATTAACGAGCTAAATATAACGCTGAAAACAAGGAGAGAAGCGCCGCCATAATATGGCCCAATATTGGTTCGGTCCAGAGACTCTAAACAGATTATGTCTATTGCCTCGGTTCGGTCTGCTCAGCCGTTTCAAGCTGAATGTCCATAGATGGCGCCTTAGAGGCAAAAAGCACACAGCCAAATCCGCTCTCTCTCTTTTATATTTTAGGCTCCTTGACGTACACCAGTCGTCACCATGTTGTGATAATAACAGTCATGGTAGATCTGTCGAAACATTACTGAGACAACTTGCTCAGAACAGACCCAGCGGTCCACTCACCAATGAGACAGGCGATTTCATTTACAACGCTAGCTAAGTTCCGCACCTCGACTGGCAATCTTCCCTTATAGTTTAGCTAACATCTGATATGTGCGAGTCTTGAACAGGTTGCCCAGGCATCGCTCCTTATCATTTATTAATCAAGCTGCGCGAATATGCCAGGGGCCGAAACGCATGTTTAGCATGGTAGATCGACGGTTTAATGCACGCGAGATAGTTGTTCAAAGTAAATACCGACCTTGGAAGTTAATATGCAAGAAAAATTTCTACAGGTAACATTTCAGTGTTTGCGAATATTTTCGGTGATCAAATAGACTGTAGATGAGCGGCCGTTTATCAAGAAGCTGTAGCCCGGCATCGCGAAACTGATCGCGGGCGCCGACGGGTCCGACCAGGCCGACGGTAGGAATTTCGAACATTGGCGGGGTCCGCTCCGTTCCTCTTCTTCCTGACACTGCAAATGGTCGTTCTTTCTTCCCTTTCCTAGGTGGCTTGTCCTTCCCTGTGCTTATCCCAGTGGTTTTCACAACCTGTGGGATATTATCGAGTTCCTCTCCCTCCTCCTCCTCGCTTAACAATGCTCGTATAACAGGACCTGTTGACAGTGTAGCGACGTGCGACAGATACGCGACCTGGTCATGGAGCGATGAGAGAGAGCGGCTAGATAAGAGCTTGCTGCACAGTTCCTGCTCCCTCCTGCCTCCTCGTTAACAAGCTCGTTAAACAAGCGCGTTAACACCATGTTGACAGGTGTAGCGACAGGCGACGAGAAGTATCGCGTACCTGTCATGGACTGATGAAGGAGAGCTGCTAGATAAGTATGCTGCTAGCAGCTGAGTTTCCTCCCGCTCCTCCTCCTCTGTTAACAAATGCTCGCTTAATCGAACTGCTCGTCAACACCCGTTGACAGGTGTACGACGGCGACCAGGCGCGTACCTGGTGACATGGACTGATGAAGGATGAGAGCGGCTAGATACAGAATTGCTCACACGGAAGTTCCTCTCCCTCCTCCTCCTCGTTAACAATGCTCGTTAACACCTGTTGACAGGTGTACGACGGCGACAAGGACGCGTACCTGGTCATGGAGCTGATGAGAGGAGGAGAGCTGCTAGATAAGATGCTGCAGCACGAGTTCCTATCCGAGCGAGAGGTCGGAGCCATCATGTACGTCGTCGTCCAGGCGATCGGGTATCTCCATAGCAACGGGGTACGTAGCAACGCCTCTCCATAGCAACAGGTTAGGTAGCAATGCCTTTCCATAGCAACGGGTTAGGTAGCAATGCCTTTCCATAGCAACGGGGTACTTAGGAACATTGCTCCGTAGCAACAGGTTAGGTAGCAATGCCTCTCCATAGCAACGGGGTACGTAGCAACGTCTCTCCATAGCAACGGGGTAGGTAGCGCCATCTAGAGTGCGTTGTCGTGCAGGCGATCGATAATCTCTGTAGCAACGGGGTACGTAGCGATCGAGTATCTCTATAGCAACGGGGTACGTAGCAACATCTCTCTGTAGCAATGGGGTACGTAGCAACATCTAGCGTACTCCGTCGTGCATCCTCTGTAAATTTCTCGAACATTTCCGACGTTCACTTGTTTTCCCTCTCTGCCCGCCACCAGGTGGTGCACCGCGACCTCAAGCCGTCGAACATCCTCTACTGCGATGACTCGGAGCATCCGGACAAGCTACGCATCTGTGATTTCGGCTTCGCTAAGCAGCTTCGAGCCGAGAACGGCCTCCTGATGACCCCATGCTACACCGCCAACTTTGTAGCTCCTGAGGTAGGTGCAGAGANTCTCTCTCTCTCTCTCTCTCTCTCTCTCTCTCTCTCTCTCTCTCCATGTCTCCCTTCTTCCCTCCTCTCTCTTTCTCTTGCTCTCTCCTCTCCTTTCCTCTCCTCTCCTCTCCTCTCCTCTCCTCTCCTCTCTCTGTCTTTCTCTTTCTCTCACCCCTCCCCCTCTATCCCTGCTCTCTCTCTATCTGCTGTGTTACTGACGTTGCTGCTTCGCTGCTCTGCTACAGGTGCTGAAGAGACAGGGATACGACGCAGCGTGTGATATCTGGAGCTTAGGCGTGCTCATGTACACCATGCTTGTAGGGTGAGTCTATACGCACGCACACACACGCACACGCACGCACGCACGCACGCACGCAGCGTGTGATATCTGGAGCTTAGGCGTGCTCATGTACACCATGCTTGTAGGGTGAGTCTATACGCACGCGCACGCGNTATTTTTCTTTCCTGTCTCCCTTTCATCTGCTTCCCTCTTTTCCTACCCCCTCTTCTGCTCACTCTCTTTCTCTTCCTCTCTCTCTCTCTCTCTCTCTCTCCTTCTCTGCTCTCTCTCTCTCTCTCTCTCTCTCCTCTCTCTCTCTCTTCTCTCTCTCTCTTCTGTCTCTCTCTCTCTTATTCTCTCTCTCTCTCTCTCTCTCTCTCTCTCTGTCGCTGTCTCTCTCTCTCTCTCCTCTCTCTTTCCTCCATTCCAATCTCTCCATATCTTTTCTCTTCTCTCTCTCTCTCTTCTCTCTCTTCTCTCTCTCTCTCCATGTCTCCCTTCTTTCCCTCCTCTCTTTTCTCTTGCTCTCTCCTTCCTTTCCGTCATCTCTCCTCTCCTCTCCTCTCCTCTTCCTCTCTCTCTGTCTTTCTCTTTCTCTTCACCCCTTCCCCTCTAATCAGCCTGCTCGTTCTCCTTCATCTGCCTGTTGTTACTCTGACCGGCGTTGCTGCTTCGGTGCTCTGCTACAGGTGCTGAAAGGACAGGGATACGCGACGTCAGCGTGTGATATCTGGAGCTTAGGTACCCGTGCTCATGTACACCACTGCTTGTAGGTGTGTTGCTCTATACGCACAGCACACCGCACGCTCGCACGGCACGCACCGCACGCAGCGTGTGACTATCTGGGTGCTTAGCGTGCTCATGTACACCATGCTTGTAGGTGTGAAGTGCTATACGCCCTCGCACGCACACCGCACGCACGCACGCACATCACGCACGCACGCCACGCAGCATGTTGTATACTGGAGCGTGCTAGGTGCTCATGTACACCTGCTTGTAGGCGTGGTCTACTACGCACGCACGCCGCACGGCACGCACGCACGCACGCACGCACGCAGCACGCACGCGCACGCAGCTGTGTGATATCTTGCGCAGCTTAGGCATGCGCTTACACCATGCTTTGTAGGTGTGAGTCTAATACGCACACGCACCCCACACGTCACACACGGCACGCACCGCACGCACGCAGCGGGTGATATCTGGAGCTCTAGGCAGTGCTCATGTCACAACATCTTGTAGGGTGAGTCTATACGCACGCCAGCACGCTCGCCGCACGCACGCACGCACGCACTGCCACGCACGCCACGCACGCACGCACAGCGCACGCACGCAGCGTTACTATTTCTGGCAGCTAGCGTGCTCATGTACACCATGCTTGTAGTAGCTGAGGTCTCATACGCCACGCTCGCACGCACGCACGCACGCACATTCACGCACCCGCACGCACGCCACGCACGCGGTGATTCGGCGCAGCAGACCCGTGTGATATCTGGGAAGCTGGAGCTTAGGCGTGCTCATGTACACCATGCTTGTAGGGTGAGTCTATACGCACGCACACACACGCACACGCACGCACGCACGCAGCGTGTGATATCTGGAGCTTAGGCGTGCTCATGTACACCATGCTTGTAGGGTGAGTCTATACGCACGCACGCACGCACGCACGCACGCACGCAGCGTGTGATATCTGGAGCTTAGGCGTGCTCATGTACACCATGCTTGTAGGGTGAGTCTATACGCACGCGCACGCGCACGCACGCACGCACGCACGCACGCACGCACGCAGCGTGTGATATCTGGTGCTTAGACATGCTCATGTACACCATGCTTGTAGGGTGAGTCTATACGCACGCGCACGCACACGCACGCACGCACGCACGCACACACACACATACCAAGCTATATATTATAAAATATAGCATATAGTAGAACGCCTAGTTATACGGATATACATTAACATAGATTTGAAAATAATATACGGTAATATGTCAATCGAAAGCGCGCACGCTTTTCTTTCGCGACCTCTCCTGACGAGGAGCTAACCGGTGGCGCCATCTGTCTGCACAGGAAGACGCCATTCGCGAGTGGTTCGTTAGACACTCCGAAGCAGATTCTATCCCGCATCGGAGAGGGACGCATCCCGGAGAACGTAGGAAACTGGGAAGCCATAACTCCCCCAGCCAAGGTAGGAAGGAGGTTGGGAGAGAGGAGGTAGGGAGGAGGTGGAGAGGCAGGGAGGAAGGGAGAGAGGAGGTGGGGAGGCTGGAAAGAAGGGAGAGAGAAGGTGAGGAGGAAGGGAGAGAGGCGGTGGGGAGGCAAGGAGGAAGGGAGAGAGGAGGTAGAGGTGGGGAGGTGGGGAGGCAGGGAAGAAGGGAGAGAGGAGGTGGGGAGGGAGGGAGAGAGGAGGTAGGGAGAACATGGGGAGGGAGAGAGGTAGGGAGAGAGGATGTGGGGAGGGAGGGAGAGAGGAGGTAGGGAGGGAAAGAGGTAGGGAGGAGGTGGGGAGGCAGGGAGGAAGGGAGAGAGGAGGTGGGTAGGGAGGGAGGCAGGGACTGAGGAGGGGAGGGAGGTGGGGAGGCAGGAGGGAGAGAGAAGTAGGAAGGAGGGAGGTAGGTGAAGATGGAGGGGGAAGGTCGGGGGAGGGGACAGCTGCGGTCTCCCCCCAACGCTGTACCACACGACAGACAACGTGCTGGAGAGAGGCAGATAGACAGGATGTGGGGAGGGAGGGAGAGAGGAGGTATGAAGGAGGTGAGGGAGGGAGAGAAGATGGAGGCATGGATCTAATGTACATTGCTCAATAGCTGTTATTTAAGTATGTATGTGGGAAGGAGGGAAAGAGAGGGTAGGGAGGAGGTGGGGAAGGAAGGAGGTGTAGAGAGAGGGTAGGGAGGAGGTGGGGAAGGAGGGAGAGAGGAGGGAGGTGTAGAGAGAGGGTAGGGAGGAGGTGGGGAAGGAGGGAGGTGTAGAGAGAGGGTAGGGAGGAGG